CCCCCCCCCCCCCCCCCCCCCCTTACCTGAATTTCCTCCTCCAGCATAGGCAGGCATGGCGCAGGGTCCTAGGCAGGGGCTTCTGGTTGGGTGGGTGGAGCTGGATGGGGCCAGGCAAGCCTTGCTACTGCTGGGTCCTACCATGGCTTCCCCTGAGTCCTGCTGCCCCTGGCTCCTGTCATCTTTGACAGGTAGCCAGGGGCAGATAAATATTAATTTTCTAAATTTTTTAGGGGCCCCACAGGCTGGATAGAATGGTCTGGTGGGCCGGATGCAGCCCGTGGGCTGTATTTTGCTCACCCTTGACTTAGAGGGTACTCAGGGAGTATGTCTATAGCATACACGTCCCCAGCAATGCATTCTGTCCCTCATGTTCACTGCTAGTTACACGCAGATTTATTATGCAGGTGCAGTAACACATTATTACCTGCTTCCTGCAAGTCTCTCTCAGAATGCTGAAGCTTGAATGCTGAAGCTGTCCCACCACAGCCCTATGAATTATACCACTGACCATCGCTGCATCCTGTAGGTTACAGCAGTGGGGAAAATATGACCCAAGGTAGCAGGAGGGCTATGGCTGGAAGGAACAGTGGCAAGACACCCAAGGATCCATGAGCATGGGGAAGCTGTTTGCAAAGGGGCTAAGTAGTTCTGATGCTGGGTCTCTGCAGAGGCTTTTGCTGACTCTGCTTAGGAAGGAGTTGCAGAATGAGTGGTCTCCAGTCCCTGTGGAGTCTGCATCTCTGCCAGCCTTTGGCGGAGAGTGGAATCCATGATCCTCTCCACTCATCACATTGACAGGCAGTTGGCAGGACCTTGACAGGCAGAGTCACAGCTGTTGTCCCCAGGTCTCCATCTGCTCAGCTGCCTTGTCTGACCCGCTAAGGACAATCCTTTCCTGTTCCCAGGCTGTCTCTGAGGTTAGTTCTCACCACTCAGGACTGACAGCTCCACAGCAGCTTATTGAGTTCTTCCTTCCAGTGTCAACTCACTTGCCCTCATACTGACACCATGCTTCTGCGTGGGACGGTGGAAAGGAGAAGAGAGCCTTGTTGGGTTCAATCCAACATTTCTCCCGGCACCTCCTAGGAGTTTCTGAGGCTGGGCTTTGGTGCTCAGAGCCAAGGACTGGGCTTCAGGCCTTCCCAGTTGTGTTCTCTGCTGGGCAACTTTAGGCAATCCTGTCCCCTTCCCAGGCCTCACTTTTCCTATCTGTAAGAGGGACACACTGCCCACTGGAGAGGGTGCTGTATAGCTTGACTGATGTTGATGGAGAGTATTAGGATCATTAGCTGGAGTCTGCAGGTGACAACATCCTTTGAACCATACATGAAATGCCATTCAGGAGAGTACTTGCAGTTCTCCCATGACCACTATGGATGGGGTCATGAGTGGGGTGTCTGTTACACTTGAGGGCAACTCTGGGATCTAGTGTACACTGAAGTTCTTAAAAACAAGGACTGAGAAGGGCACTGGGGTCTGACTATGGACTTGAGGACTTGGCTCCTACTCTGCCCAGCCCTGGCACGTTCACCCCCCAGCACCCTTTGCAGTGCAGAGGAGAGGGGCCAGAGCATTAGGGGTGTGCAAAGGATTTGTACTGGGGCTCTATCCCCTCACTCTTGGGGAAGGCTCCTCCGAAGCATCCGCAAAACCATTTCACTGTTCTCGGTCATGTGTCTCTTTTTAAACTCATCTTTGCTGGGATGCCTGAAGACCTGGATGCAAGTTAAGCTGCTGATGTGCTGAATGACTGCCCAGTGTACTGACCAATACTGTCTCCTTGTCTCCTCCTGTTCCCCATCTGCCCCTAGTGTCCCTTGCTTTATACTCCAACTGTAAGTTCTGGGGGTAAAGACTGCCGTTTTGGTCCGTGTTTATGCAGCACCCGGCAGTAATCCAGTGGTTGGTGTTCACGGCACTGAGTAATCAAGTAACCATAATTAATAGCAATAAAAGTGAAAATGCAACCCGGAAGTCCTAACCATCCCACTCTCCCCACCCTAGTGGCTCCTCCAGTAAGAGAGTATCATACTCGTGCCCAAACCCATGAAAGCAGCTAGAGATGTCTGTCTACAGATTTCAGGGTGGTGAATGGGGAATAGAAATCAACCTTCTTGGGATCAGGACGCCTCTGAAAGCTGAGGGGCATGTTGGGTTTGTAACACAATCAGCCTGTGGTTATATTTCAGTGAATCTGTTACCAATGAAGTCGAGGAACTTATTTAGGAAGGTCCAGGAGGATGAGGTGCCTCCAAAGCCCACCAGCACCGAGATGCCTGTGACGAGCATGGACAATGTGACTCATGCCACGAGCCAGGGGAAGAACGAGGACTTGTTCACCAAGCTTAGCGACTATGCCAAGGAAAGATTTAAGGAAGGGCTACAGAAAATTCCCTGTAAGTAACTGGCTGCTGCCTCCTCTTCCAGCACCCTTTTCTGAAAGCACTGTGCACTGGTCTCACAAAAAGACAGACCCTCTATCCCGTCAGCCCACCTCCAGTTAGGTCCCACATGGTGATGTTAAGCACCAACTCTTTCCCATGGTAACCTCAGGCGGCAGTTACCATGGAGACCACAGGGTTTCTGGGTGTTATGAGACTACTGCCTTGCAGGGAATTAGCTGAGGAGGGGTAGTTGTTACATATGATGCTGTAATAAAGCAAACCATGGGAGTGCCTCTTTCCCATCAATCAAGGTCAAAGGCCCTTCTGAGCCTAGTGACCCTGGGGCTGGCATGGTTAAAGCATGATCATTTCTGTAGCCAAGGCCACACAAAGAAGAGATGTGTCTAGCATTACATCCAGCTGCCTTTGACTGCCCAGCCTGAATGACCAGGTGCCAGCTACACCTGGGGGCACTGGGGAGAGTCACCAGTCCAGAGCAGGCTTCGAACTCTTCCTGTTGCAGCCATTGAAACACATCTTCCCTGCTCCATCACCAGTGCCCCTACCTCTGGCCTTTCTGTAAATGCTTGTGGCTTTGGGGTGACTGTTTATCAGCCCCCTGTGTCCCAGTAAGATGTCTGTACTCTGTCTGCCCTGCTGCATTTTGGGAGCACAGTCTTCCTCTACAAGTGCTGTGTGCATGGAAGTGGCCCCAGGGTGACTGTGTGGCTGGTGTTTTTTGCACAGTGCCTCCCTGGGCCCTGATAGCCATTGCTGTGGTAGTTGGCCTGCTCTTCCTCACCTGCTGCTTCTGCATCTGCAAAAAATGCTGCTGCAAGAAGAAGAAGAACAAGAAGGAGAAGGGCAAAGGCATGAAGAATGCTATGAACATTATTTTGCTCCCTATATACCTGAAGAAAGACTTTTTGTTGCCTTTAATTTTTGTTGTCAGCCTAAGTTCCATTTCTGCTTTGGCCTTTCTGACTGCCT